AATTTGATCAGTAGCATTGGGTCAACAACAAGGATGCCCATTCTCTTTCACAGCAATTATGAAGTCAAGGCACTTCACTTTGAAGATTATCTTCTAGGTTTGGAAGATAATGGTTACTTGATTCTGGAAAGCTAGGACTATTGGAGCCTTTGTCCATTCTGGAACAAGAAGGGTGATTAAAACTCAGATGGATCTCAATCGACTTCTTCTTGATGTCAAAGAAGTTCCTCAAGATGAGTGAGACAAGCTGCAGAGTAACATCAACAGAATAAGAATCATCATATTTGCATTGCAACACTACTAGAAAAACAGCCTTTTACGAAGCTCATTGCGCTTCGTAAAAGGCTCAGACGACGCACAAATGCGCGTCAAGGAAGGCCCTGTCATAAAGAGAGATGACGCGCTTTTGCGCGTCGTCTATAGACGACGCACATTTACGACGCTCATTTACGACATGCATTTACGACGCGCAATGCGTATCAAGGAAGACCCTGTCATAAAGGAAGACGACACGCATTCGCGTGTCATAACCTTACGACGCGCGTGTTAATGACACGCAATGCGTATCAAGAAAGCCCCTGTCAAGAAAGGCCATGTCATAAATGAAGATGACACACATTTTTGCGTATCATAATCTTAAATGTTTAAAAAAAATATTATTTATAGATTTACTAATTTTCAAATTAAATAATACATTAAAAATCTCATAATACAAAATAAAATACCATAAATAACAAAGATAATTCATTTCACTAATATGTCAAATACAAATAATTATTCCAATAGTGAGTAAATGTTATAATAAAATGAACTCATTTATATACAATTGCATTATCTAGCTTACTATGTGCCAACAACTCTCTATGTGTTTACTTTTGCTTGAGTCTCGTTTCCTCCAAAGCTTCTAAATCACAAACCTTTTTAAACATACTAGAGACAGGATCCAATCCATGGGGTATTTTTGGAAAATAGTCTGAACATTCTTGACAAATCATCAACCTGCAAGTGAAGGGTAGAAAGGGAAGAAACAAATGTTCACAACCAGTAAGAAATCTAAACACTAGAAGTTTCATAGTGATTGTTGATTCCTATAAACTCAAATGTGAGATGAGAGGCTTGTTCACAACCAGTAAGAAATACTAAGTAGAAAGAAACAAATCAGCACCGTTTTCTGCTTCTGCTGCAAGCAGTAATATGGAGCGTGACCCACGACAGATGAGGCAGTCATCTCCTTGAAAGCTAAATACATATGTTCTCGCAAAACTAACATAAAAAAAAAACAATAATGAGAATAATTTGTGGCATTCATCACCTTTAGTATCCAGCCACAAATCAGGACCAATTCATCCATCAAACACACAATCAGCACTCAGCAAGCCCACTCCACTACCCTCTCCAACAGCAAGTCAAAGTAAGCATCATCCAAGTGTTAGTGCCAAAAAAAATCAAAACATTCATTAATTTTAACGTGTTGGGAGGAGAGCAATTAGGTAAAAGGATTGAGAAATTCGTACCCATGCTTATCTTAGCAAACTTGGTTTGGAACACCTGCACAATAAAATATAAATTATCAAAAGACTAAATGACTATCTTACCCTTACATTGAAAAGTCAAAGTGCCAATTTAATATGAAACATGGGTATGATTGTATAAAAAACGGACCTTGAAGCCAGTGTCACCTAGATTGAAGTAGAATCTCTCCTAGTATCCTGAAAAAAAAAAAAGGGACTATTTATTTTAATTAAACTTACATAAAATATAAGAGATTCTTTATGCTGATTATATGTGTAGATAATTAGAAACTTAACTGAAAGCATTTTAAGTCCGGGGAGGGATAATATTGGGTCCATATGTAGGAAAAGTATCTGAAGTACATCACCTGAAATCGATCGACAACCACAACTCGAGCCTGGTCGTGATTATAGCTCAACTGCCACCTTCACACTCCCGTCAGAAGTTTGTTAATCAAATATGATCACTCTTGGACACGGGCATTAAACTTAATAAAGAATAAAATTTTGCTTTCCATTTGCTTTTCTTATTACGACATTATAATTTAAAAATCTTCTACATATCCTTTCTATTTGGATAAAATATGTTATAAATGGTATATATTTTTCAAAGAAAGCACATTGCTATCTGTTGCATTCATTTTTTTATCTCAAGAAATGTCTAGATTTTCATTAATTGGTAAACAAATTTAAGTTTTGTTCAGTTTTTACCTGATTGTACTTGGCTAAGCGCTCTCCACGAGAAGGAGAGCCTGCTTTGATTTGACAAGAGGCAAGACCAACCACCAGGTCAGCAATGAAAGAATCATCTATTCCCCACTTCTCTATGATATCACCACCATAACTTGGAACCATCATAACCGGTCAGCAGATTCATACACATTTGAGAGGTTAAAACATCTTAGAAAACTTCCTCAGGGCATTATGGTCACATAAATGCTATACATCATCTTCCTCAGGCAGTTTCACTGCTGTGTAAATACCTGCACCAGCTAGTGCGCCAAGGATGGGAGCTGTAAGGTAGATCCATATGCCTTTGTAGTTATTTGCAGCTATTGCTGGTCCCAAGGTTCTTGCTGAGTTCATTGATGCTCCTGTCAGTGGCCTATATCATTTCAACAAAGGGAAAAATGTGAACAAAGAGGTTACCCCCTTTTTTTTTTTTTAAAAAAAAAAAAAAAACTTCTATCAACATACCCAGTTATCAGAATATTAAGAAGGTTCAATTTATACGTACCCATCTATAAGAATATTAAGCATGACAGTTGCCCCCAGCTATTCCCGCTAGCTCGCCAACCTGTGGTGAAATAAAAATCAGGTTACAGTTATTTGAATAATTGCAAAATTTGTCTATGTTCATGTATATGTAAAATTTCCATAGCCAATTTTATATTAATACTATAAAATAATAAATATAAATAAATAAATATATATACATATATATATATATATATATATATATATATATATATATATATATTACCCGTGAAGACCAGGGGTAGATGGGCGATATACACTTGTTAAGCCTAATTGTCTAGCAGCTGAAGCAGTGGTTTCGCTAATGCATGCAACAGAACCCTCCCATGTCTGTGGTTCAGGTAGAAAATCCACCGAAGCACTGTTGCATGATAAAGATTAACAGATTAGAGGTCATTTTTTTGGATTTATTTTTCAGGTTTTATGTTTTTTTGGTTGCATAAAGCAATAAAAATAGCAATGAAAGAAATGGTGTCTTCTTGAAGTCAAAGTCCATGAAAGCATGAGGAAGATATTTGTTGAATTTCGCAATATATTATAACAAAAAAGTTCGAGAACTTTATATCTAAGAATACAAATTATTGGAGTGTAATGGAGACTGAGAAAACCTCTAAATAAATAATCAGATAAGCTTCGGTTCGGTTAAGCTTTTTAAATTAGGTCATAAAACAAAGCATTGAACTAACCCCAAAAAAAACATGTGAAACTCCTTCAAAATTTACAAACAAAAAAATATTTATATTTATATTTAAAAACATGTGAAACTCCAAAAAAAAAAAAAAAAACAGGTGGCATAATTAATAGAAAATGATCTTACTTTAATTGGATGCACGGCTATTGAAGACAAACTTCAAGAAGGGTAAGAAAGAAGCTGCAGCAACACCTCAACCCCTGCTGCAACAACATTTCCATTAACCCAAGGACAGAAGAAATTATGATGCTTAATTGGATCAAACTCCACTACTTCTTCAAAGTTGCTTTCCCCATTTGGAGGCCCTAAATACCAAAATATATAAATAAAATAAAAAAGATTAAATGTTCAATCATTTTTAATAGAAAAAAGGACTCTAACCTAGCCCATTTGCAGGAGGCTCACATGGTTATACATTCATGCTCTTTATGTTACATTTTCATAATCTCAGGTTCGTGAAATGGCAATGGTTTCTGCTGTTCAGGAAGCCCAGAAAGATAATCTCAGAAACTTTAGTGACTACATGATGACAGTGTTAGAGGTTAGTTTCTACACAAAGTCAAAGTTACACTTCAATTCTGTATTCTGATATCTACTAAATTACCCTTTTACCGCCTGTTTAATACTAAATTACCTATTTTTTTTCTATCTGTCAGGATGACTGGCAAAAGGAAAAAAGGGACTTTCTTCACAGCTTGAGCCGCATCTCCAGTTTAGCAAGGACCAATGTAACTGATTCAAGCATTGGGGCTAACCGATCAGGGCCAATATTATCTCTATTTTCTAGTCCTCACATTTCATCTGGTCCTTCTAACATGGAGCTTTTGGCAATAGTTGATAAAAAGGCTGCAACATATGTCCAGGTTGTGAGAAAACTCAATGATGCAAGAAAACGTAGTTTAGAATATAAAGTAAGTCCATCAACTTATCATACTTTTGTTACTCGATTTATTTATTAATGTGTATTTTGTTCCATTTTTCAGTCAGCTACTGCTTTTAAGAATGCATATGATCACAATCTTGGCCTGGATTCTTCTAGTGGTAACTCAGTTACCATGAACAAGATCTGGCATCTAATTCAGGTACACATTGTTTTCATATGTAGAAGATTGCTCTTTCAAGCATTTTGTCGATCACTTGGAGTGCATATATGCTCTCTTTTTTCTGACCCATTTACTTTAATTGTACATTTATAACCATCGAAAACAAATGCCAAAATCACATACTTTAAGCATCGATTCATTGTAAAATATAAAATAAAACATCAAACTGAGGTTCAACAAAATAACATTAAGAGAGGGGTAGAGATTTTCGAGATGATCTACAGGGGATGAAGAAATAAAGTTCTTCTGTTCAAAAATAAAACCAAACAGATTCATCACTCTCAACATTTTAAAGACAAACATCAAGTAGTTAAACACAAATTTTAAACTGAAATTTAATCAATATAATGAAAAATCAGAAAAAACATACTCACAGTAGTAGTCGTGGCGGCCGTAGTTGTCGACTCCGCCATCATAAACTTTTTTGTTGAAGAAATAGGAGATGGTAGAAGCGTCCTTTTCATAGCATAGTAACACCTCCCATTCCTGGGAGAAATAGGAGATCGTAGTTGTCGGCCGTAGTTAAACACAATTTTTGTTGAAGAAAGGAAACTTCAATTAAACGAACAACTTTACCATATTTGGGAGAAAAAATCGGGAATGGGTTACTATTAACGAACCTTAGAGAGTTTATCGCCACCAAGATGATGCAGATGCACGAAAAAAACCAGAATCCTTTTTTCTTGATTGAGAAGATGAAGTTGAGGGATGAATGAGAAGTCGTGTTCCCCTAATTTGCTGAATGGATGAAGAAATAGGACCAAGGCTAGAAGCGCAACTAGACTAGGGTTTGTAAACGTGGGGAGTCATTGTAGATGGAGTAGGGTAGAGGTGAAGAGGAGTGAGCGGGTACTTCAAAATTTTGGGGGATTTTCCATGTTTCTAGTGGTGGCGGCTGCTAGGTTTTACAGAGAGTAGCAGGGGAGAAAATGAAAGAAGATATTACTATTTCAAATGTGTTATGTTTGATTAGGGTTTGCACATAGAAGGAAGTGAAAGTCGATCGGAGAAAGGGGTTTGCAGAGAGAAAGAAGGGAGAGAATGAAGTCGATTTGGCGGGTGTAGAGAGTAGAGAGGAAGAGGAAGCGGGTGTTCAAAATTTTGGGGGATTTAGTTTCCCCCTGAGTCCCAGAAACGCGCGTTTATTAAAATTATAAAGCGACATTTGTAGAGGACGCCCTTTTTATTATAGGTGCCCTCCGTGTTTTTAATAATTTTTACATGAGACACTAATTTAAGGGCACTCAGTAATGCGCGGCCTAAATCCTTAAAATTTTTGAAGAGATGACACTTTTTTAATGTCGCTCTCTAATGCGTAACATAAATCAAAGAGCGTCGTGTTTTGCGCGTTGTAAAAGGCCTTTTTTCTAGTAGTGCAAGCTGATACCTTTCGCCTTGTGAGTTCCTTTGATACTACCAAAGTTATATGGGATAGACTTAAAGATCTTTATTCAATAGGCGCAGGTCTGGAATCTTCTACTCAAACGCTCTTGTTATCTGAATTTGGTGCTTTCGCACAAAAGGCTGATGAAAATTAGAGTCAAACGTTTAATCGCTACAATCATCTACTGAGCGGGATGATGAAGCATGAGATTGGAAGAGAAATCATCAAGCAGAAGGTGACATTCATGAATGGATTGAGGTCTGAATGGATGGCGTTGGTTTCTACGGTGAAAGCTCACGAGCAATTAAGAAATTATACATTGGCAAAGCTGGTAGGTATCTTGAAGTCACATGAAAGTGAAGTGACTAAAGAAACGAAATTTGTGTCTAGCATGCGTTTGTTGGCTCTAGTTGCAAAGGGGAAGCAAGTGACTGAGGATGAATCTGAGTCTAATCTTTCTAACTATGAACTCACAAATGAAGAGTTCTCTCTAATGGTGTCAAATCCTAGGAGATTCGCAAAAAAAAAAAAAGTTTCCCTCTAAAAACCGAAATTGGTAGGGAAGCTACATTTCAGACATAGTGAAAGAGGATAAGGTGAATAGCTTCCAGAAAGAAGAAGATAAGAAAGAGAAAAATCTTGTAGTTGATTCGGGCTATGATTGTAACTATTGTCACGATAAGAACCATTTGGCAAAAGAATGCATGTTGAGGAGAATGAACGAAAAGAAGGATGGAGAAGGATGATGAGGCGTACCATCTTCGCAAGCTTGAAGAAATCAAGAAAAAAAAAAGATGATAACACTATGCTTGCTTTGGTTGTGCAGGGAAAGAATGATGAAGATGAGTTTGGTGGAGTGGAAGTGTGGTCCACTGATTCAGAGGATGAAGGAGTTAGAAAACCCACTCATGGAAAAAAGCTTAGTGGTAAATGAAGGGGATTCACATACGGATGGAAATGCTTTGTGGTGACAAATGGCATGTCACAAATGCGAGGGTATGCTACAGATGAAGGAAAAGAATAATCGAATGGAAAAAGAGATGACAATTGCTTCGCTGCGAATCCAATTCTTGCACAAATCAGCGAATGTGATCAGCTGATTAATAAGGTACATTCCATTCTTGAATCTCTTAATGTTCCTGTATCTAATTATGAAGCTGAATTAAACGACTTAAAATTCACCTTTTCAAGTATAAGTTATAAAAACAAACACACCTATCAAATGCTAACTTAAACGATCAAATTAGAAGGGTGTCATCAAAAAGTGAGGAGCGAAGGATGTGGATCGAGAAGATAGAGTCTGAGCTTTCTAGGTCTAGGGATGAGTCTATTTATTTACAAAGAGACAATTTAAAGCTTTTGAAACAACGTAACATTTTTTAATTGCTAAGAGGCTTTACTTTAATATTACTCAATTACATTTGGATTGTGAAATTGGTAAGAAAATTCATAAAATGATCTTGCCCTTTTTGGAATTAAAAGAAGATGAAATTGATGCTGATTGTTTTCAATGTAAATCTATCTTGTCATCAGATGAAACCTCAGAGGCTTATAAAATTAGTCTTGACAAAATTGAATCATATATTCAGTCCAAAAACCACAAGGACATGCTTAGACAGTTACTTGATGAAAATGATCGGTTAAAGATCAAAACCGAAATTGTACATAAATTTGATTCAAGAAGTTCAAATTGAGTTCAGTCAATAAATTAAATATTGAAAATATTTCTGAATTCGATGAGGACAGTGAGATGAGTGAAATATTTGTAGAGGGTGAGGTGACTGTTCGCAATTTCTTAAAAGCGAACATGAAAAAGCGAAAGTTCTTATTTCAGAAAATTCAGTTGAATTGGCACATCTTTCTCAAATTAGTCCAAAATTTCCAAAGGAAAATGCGACTGGATTTCCAAAGGTCCAACCGACACCTAACCAAGTTTTCGCAGTTAACGGTGTAACTAAATGTCAAATAGTTGAACTAACACACTTAGTTGAAACTGATAATGCTGATCGGTGTGATGAGTACTTTTGGTTTGTCCCGATTGACAATGCAGGCAAAACCATATGTCTTTTTGAAAAGACTTCCTGGAGAGTTAAAGGAAGGTATGTAGCTGAACCTTTAAATAAGGTTAATGCCACCTCCGAAAAGGGAAGTTTCGGCGGAACAAAGGATAATGCCACTGATAATTCCTCAGTTCAGGCAAACACTCTTGTGCGAAAGATAAGGGAAAAAGCAAATGTTCACAAATCTGCTGAACAGTTCGCAGCACAAAAACATCAATGAAATGCCAGATACAAGAAAATTTTGCAGGAGCGAAAGAAATTTTTGAAGTCAAGGAATTCTAACTATGTTCATCATGGAAAGCGTTCCAACCCTCAGACAAACTGTGTATAAACTGCTAATTCCAAAAGCCAAAAAGACTCTTCACAAGCGAATCTGAAAGGTGTCTCACCTCATAAGTCTCATAACACTCAGAATCTGAAGCATAAAGTTTATCGTAGATCCACAGTCCCAAAACCCACCTCTCATTTAAATCACAATTCATCTCCTAAAACCCCCTTCGTTTCTAAACCAGGAGTTTTGCACTCTTCCAAATTCTCACGACATGAAAAGGGAAGGCAAAGGTCGCTTTCAGGGTCTCACATTCCTTTCACATCTAAGGAGGAAGAGCGAAAGTTTGTTTTAAATCAAATAAGAATCAAACAAAAACAAAAACAAACTAACTTGAAAGATGATCATATTAAGGTTTTTACAATAAAGAAGAATGATCAAACAACCTTAATAAAATGAACTTGCTTGATTGATATCTCTATTGCTTATCCAGTTACTGTAAAAGGCTCACAAGAACCCAAACACCTTTGGGTTCCTAAATCTGCTTAATTTTTTCAGGTTATTTGTGACAAACAGTTTGATACAGAATGGTATATCGACAATGGTTGTTCGCGTCACATGACAAGAAGAAAGGAGGAGCTGAGAGAATATAGGGAACTGAAGAATGGTGGTCTAGTAAAGTTTGGTAATAATGCACTTGGGGAAATCAAAGGCTACGACATGATAACTAATGGCGAATTATCTATTCACAAAGTGGCATACGTTGAGGCACTGCAACACAACTTAATAAGTGTTTCACAGTTGGTCGTTGGTACAAGATCAAAGGTTCCGTTTGGTGATGAAGGATCTAAAATTATCGAAAAGAAGATGAAAACAGTGCTACTTAAATCAAAATGAAAAGGCGGGATGCATCCATTGAGCATCAATCCAATATGAGGTAAGCCTTCTATATGTCTACATTCTAAAGCTGCTATAGACGATAGTTGGTTGTGGCATAGAAGACTTTCGCACCTCAATTTCAAAGACATCAACAAGATAGTTCTTGGTGATCATGTAAGAGGTCTTCCCCTCTTGAAATATGACAAGGATCATCTATGTGCCGCCTGCGAATTGGGAAAGCAAAGCAGGAAAAGTCATCTAACTATAGTGAACACGAAGGTTATTGAGCCACTCGAACTATTGGTGGTAATAAGTATATTCTCGTAGTTATGGATGATTTTTCTCACTTCACTTGGGTGTTATTTCTTAAGCAGAAGTCCAATGCATTTCCTAAGCTCAAAGATTTTATCAATCAAATAGAGTTACAACTGCGAAAGGTGGTTCGCAATGTTTGAAGTGACAATGATCTGGAGTTCAAGAACCAAGCCTTCGACGAATTTCTTACAAATAAGGGAGTGTCTCATAATTTCTTTTCTCCCTATACTCCGCAACAAAATGGGGTTGTTGAAAGACGAAACCGTTCGCTATGTGAAGCTACTAGGACCATGCTTTCGTTCACTAATCTACCTCTTTACTTCTAGCCTGATGTTGTTGCCACTGCTTACTTTACTCAAAATAAATCTCTTATTAATAAAAGATTCTCTATTACTCCGTACGAAATCATCAATAAACGAAAACCTAACGTCAAGTTCTTTCATGTTTTTGGTTCCAGATGTTTCATTTTCAATTCCAAAGAACAGCGAAACAAGTTTGATGAGAAGGCCAACGAAGGCATTTTCTGGGATACTCGCTAACATCAAAAGCATATAGGGTTCTCAACAAATGATCCAAAGGGATTGAAGAAACCTATTATGTCACATTTGATGATAATTACTTAATGAAAACTCAATCGAATGATTGTCAAGCAAAAGAGATCTTTCGTCAAACAAACCAAGTGACCATTCTATTGGCCAATCTTTAAGAAAAATTCATGCTTCTATTTAATGAACTCGAGAAGTCTATCTCTTCTGAAGTGAAAGCAACTAACAACAAGGTCGTTAAATTAAAGAAGATAATTGATGAAGCTACGAATTAAATGGATCATCAACCGTCAACTACGAACGTGCCTCAATACCAAAGCACTCCAATCCATGGGGAGACTTCTAACTCCAATACAAGTCCTCAAGAGGAACCTTCTGCACCACAGAAATCCAATGATCCTCTCCAGGGGGAGTATACGCCTTCAAACGTTGCACAAGAACGTCCAGGAGAGGAGGAAGAAGAGCATCCATTTTTTGAAATACACTCATCATTCGAGGAGGAGAATACAAAAGCGAATGATGATACAGATGTTCAATCAGAATTTGAAGAAGTGAAAGTTGAATTGGATCCATATTATGATTTGAACTACCCTC